GAGGACAGCGTGATTCGTTCAAGTGATCCTTCCAATTATAATTAACGAAACGAAGATCGGAGAATAAATCGCAAACGAGAAGATCAGCGGTATACTCCCTCGCATGTAAACTGGTGGCTTTGCCAGCTTGCCAGCTTTGCTGGGCGCCGCGGAACTCCGCGTTGATGATGATGCGGACCACTTGTTCATCTCTACTCCTTAATCCCCTTCTGCTTGTTAACATAGCGCTCCGCTCCGCCGGCGGGACGTCGCTGGGGGAGACAAAAAGGGATCGTTAGCGCCCGCGGTCGTGAAATATGGGCACACGTGATTGGAGTGGAACATGGTCCAAGTATTCCAGACGACGTCCAACTAATCCGACGTGGATCTTTTTCGAAAGGCAAACTCTCAATGCTTGCTGCTTGCGTCGACGACGATCGAGCAGGCGTATTTCGTTCCCGTTAAGCGCCGCGGTCCTCCGACTCTTCCGAAGCATCCGCACCGCGGAATAATCGCCGATAATCAGCTATTCGCGAGCAACAGGTTTAAAGAACAGGTTTAAACATTGGCGTCCCGTCTACGTTAAACGTAGTAACGGACGTAGTCACGAGCGCGATATCGCGTCATTACGCGATGATATTACGCGCCGCCAAATTTCTTTCTCGCTGCGCGTTCCGCGTGACAGACGGCGAAGTGGAAAGATAAAAAGAAGAAGAAAAAAGTAGGGGCGGGGGAGGAGGGGGGAGGGAGAGATCCGACGAGACAGACGAGGGTTGCTGCGCGCGAGGGTGGATCGGTTGACACACTGGCGAGGCAATTATTATTGTGAGTGGTTGGCGACGGGACTCCGATGATATTTTATTTAAGAAACAATCGGGTAATAGCTCGCTTCAAGAGGATAGATAACGCCGCCAGCGCGAGGCGGATAGGGAGGAGGGGGGGGGGAGGGACCCGGCCGGGGAAAAGTTGTGACGGGATAGAGAGAACGAGCTACGAGAAAAGGGAATTACGGAGGAAACAAGTGAGGGGTCGGACGAACGGGAGGGAGAAAGATGAGGGGAGGTAAAAGGTGAACTTTGAGACGGGCTGGGTAAGCTCTACATTAGTGAATTACCCGCACGCGCGCGAGTCCCTTGGCGGCGAACGATAAATATAGCGGGGCAATCCGGAAATATTGTTCGAAGGATTCAATAGATGAGATCCGTAAAGAAAATCCACCATCCCGAGAAGAGAAAAAAACCCAAGACTTTTGACGCGGTCTAAATTTGTCTTGAGACACGCTTGGGAGGATGCTCAGTAATGAGCATTAGGTTCCGTTCCAAGGACAAAAAGCATCTGGACAAAAGCCACTGGAATATCTCGCTGTTGCGGCAGTTTCAAATACGCATACGAAACTCGTTGCAGTTTTTCATCTTATTCCTTTTGCGCTCGCGCGATCGGAATTCGCGATTTCGAGATCCATACGAAGCTCGTATCGCGCCTGCGGCGCCCTCGTTGATAACGCCGACGAAAGTAATTCCGATTTATTGTCGAGGAAAAGTAAACGGTGGCGCCATCTAGCGACAAAGTTCGGAAATCTATTAATTCGTCGCTCCGGGCATCGGGACTGATAATCCTAACCTGCGACGATCCTTTTCGAGTATATTTTTTTATCACGGTAAATGGAGACGGACGACGGCAAACACTGCATGCATTACGTCGTGCGCAAGAAGCGGTTCTGCCGCATGACGGTGCGGGAGGGCCGTCGATATTGCGGCGAACATCAGCGGGACGTCGCCGGCTGCCCCGACGAGAGGGTGCCATGTCCGTTGGATCCCACGCAGCAAGTATTCCTTAGAAGTGATTAACTCGCGGTCACCGACAAAATACTATTATACACTGACAATCTTATAGAGAAGTTCACGTAGCTGTTAAAACTAATAGAACAAGCTCGTAATATTAATTTTATGACGTATCATCATCTTTAATGTTCCTTAGACATTTACATACATACATTTAAATATCGGTAATATTTAATTCTATTTAAAACTATATATATATTTATAGTCGGCATCTTTCTCCGTGTTTGGACTATCATAGAAATGATAATTGTAGGAAAGAAAATTATAGCGTCATACTTATCTATGAAGCATTTTATATAATAATAAATGGTGAATATACGATATAGCGCTCTCTCTCCTCCAGATTTTTCTGTAATTTCGTAAATTTGTATATTTTCATGCGTAGAATATATTCTGAGAAGGAAAATCGTTCCTCTTTATGTTTTTCATTTTCAAAGTTTTTTGACGTTGGTAACTTAGAAAATGATAATTTATGACTGCATATTCTCAGCTTTAATTAATTAAAAACAAATTATTTTCGCATAATTTAAATTATAGCAGAAAATAGCTTGTAATTCAAAATTTATATCTTTCTCATTCTTTTTGAGTTAATTAAAGTTCAAATGCCAAGAAAACTTTTAAAACTAAACGAAAAGAAAATGAAAGTTGAGCGATGAGATTTTCCTTCTCAGAATATATTCTATACATAAAACTGCACAAATGTACAAAATTATAGAAAAATCGGAGGAGAGAGAGCATTATACTACATATTCACCAAGCATTTATATAATATAATAAATCATGAATTTAATAACGCATTATTCAAATATTTTATGTAAACAATCACAAATTTATATATTTTCGGATAATGGATAATATCGATGCTCTTCAATATTATTTCCTCCTTTGAAATCTCGAATTTGCCCAGGGTTATGCTATCTCTTTGAGTTCGCGACGCATCAGTCGATCTTTACGCGTATCAATTTGGTTGGCGTTTCCTCTCTTTCTAGCACATGCTATCGCTCGAAGTTGACGAGACACCTAAGTGTGTGTAACGCCAAGCGCAAGTTGGACACGCGACCCCCTTTTGTGATTGAGGGAGCAAATTTGGACGATGAGACTATCGCAATGCCGCTACGCGTGCCGCTATCACAACTCGACGAGTCTGTCGTAGAGACGGTGATAAGGAAGATTCATGCTGCCTACGGTACGGGATTAAAGTTGCCTATATAAATCCCAAAATGTAATTAAGAAATAATTTTCTTTCATGTTTTTTGAATTGATATATATTCAGAAAAGCTATCGGAGTTTCCCCGAGTCATTCTGCAGCACGATGTGCTCAAGGATAAATTGAACGATAAAACCTGCGGCAGTAACGTCAAAAAGCACTTGCTTCAAAATGCGTCTCTGCTGGGACATCTAGAGCGAGCTGGTCTCGTGTGTGATGACACTTGCTTTATCGAATTCGGAGCGGGAAAAGGTAACGTCTTACTTTCGTAGACTTTTGATTTTGATGAAAAAAATTTTGCTTTTTTTATTTTTTTTTTGTACGATGTACTGTTGCGAATCACTCTGCAAATATTAAATAAAGTTGTGCTTTAAACAGCTCAGCTAACATATTGGTTGGGACAAATTGTAAAGAACAAGTCAAATTCTTGCATCTTGTTAATCGATCGTTCTAGTCACCGACACAAGAACGACAATAAGCTTAAGAGGGAAGAGAGTCATCTCGTAATAAAAAGAATACACGCCGACATTGCCGATTTGCAGCTAAATCAGGTCGCGGAGATCCAGCCGGTCAAGTACAAAGTTGGTATAGCGAAGCATCTGTGTGGTACAGCTACAGGTATACCTGTTTCCCATTGTTGTAGACGCAAAGTCTCAGTTTTATTTTGTATTACAATGATGGTGCACCTTTCAGATTTGTCGATACGATGTTTGGTGAATTCAATAAAGAACGAGCCCAAGGTCGACGTTCGTGGTCTGGTTCTCGCGTTTTGCTGCCATCACAAATGCGAGTACTCGTCGTACGTGGGCCGAGAGTATCTGCAAGGGTGCGATTTCACTGCGGACGAGTTTCCTGTGTTATGCAGCATAGTCAGTTGGGCGACTTGCCGTTTGAAGAACGACCGATCGGAATTAGATGAACGCGAAGTTACCGGGCGCAAGGCTAAAATCCTACTAAATTGGGGTCGCCTGGTATTCTTAAAGAACGCTGGATTTCAGGCCGAGCTGCTTTACACACTTCCACCGATGTCTCGTTGGAAAAACAATGTGCATCGTAGCTACACGAGAATGTTCGTCGTGACTGGGACTATTGCATTCATCTGTCTTATTCTTGTTTTTTTTTTTTTTTTTTTTTTTTTATATCGATCGTGATGAAATCAAAATAGGCCATTAGACGATAGAAAGCAATAGCAATATAAGATCAAAAATTCAGTGAACAAAATTGAAAAGCAAAAGCGTGATAATGCGATATAAAAATTATTCAGGATGAAACATGTCCGTTCGACACAACGGTCTAGGAAACCGACATCATTTATCTGTCGATCTGCGTGTTATCTCAGTCATTCTTATTTTTGTGGCTTGCCAATAAATACAATTTTATGTAAATTTATGGTTGGGAATCCATCATCAATAATGTTTGTCACTACTCTGCCAATTCAATCTGCAACCTCAGTTGGTATAATCGACTTCGAACTTACCGGTTTAGTCAACTACTACGAAAAACGCGGCCTGAAGTAGTACGCAAGTCACAGAAAACTCTCCCTACCGTACGGCATGCCCCGCCCAATACGAGTGATCTAACGTCGTTCAAACATTCCAACGCACGTTCGACGCAGACCTGGCACGAGACGATTACTCCTTTTCTCATTACTCAACTTCCGGAGGTGCCGCTGCATCATCGAGACTGGCATCGACTGGCACGAGAAAAGAAGAAAAAAGAAACGCCATTGAGGTATAAAATACGTTCCTGATTTCCATCGGGTTCATACATACGTGCGTAACCTGCCTGCTTTTCGTGACCTACATCGTTATTTACTTCTACTCCGCGTGCATGCGTCTACGCGTGCCGTAATATCGATTAGTAGTGGGTCATCGATCGGTATGATGAAGAGTTGTGTACACATTCTGTATGGCGCCACGCCGCGCCACGACGCGCCACGCCTGACTAGCACGCGACCCTCTTACCGCACTGATGGGACTTCCCTCCTTCCCGTTTTTCTTTTACAGAGAGTAAACGCGTGGCCGTTAACGTTGACATGTCCATTCTAGACGAGCGCGACGAGTACCTAAAGAACCCGTACTTCAAGGAGCACGAGTACGGCGACTTCACACCGTTCTATGTCGCGGTCGCCCTCTGCGCCGTCCTGGGTGGATTTCTGTTCATCCTGAACATTGTATTCTGCTGGTGCTCGCGACACAGAGAATACTGGCAAAATCGCCACACTGGTGAGTCCCAAAAACTCATCACATTCGTTCTTCGTATTTAAGTTACTGTATCTTCTTGCGTGTCTGCACGCAATTAATACTGATAGTTTTTCTTATTTTTTAATAGCATATTGTCCTATTGGGATTTAGGCAATAGGTGGATCCAGCCTCTATGGACTGTATTGCCGCACAAAACACCGCCGCTTGACCTTAGCGAGTTAGAGTCTGGTCGTATCAAGTACCCGCAAGTGAGGCACGAAATTGTCCAGTATCACGACTCGCAGAGTACCACGCCTCAGCCGCCGGAGTACATGGAGATGCAGAAGCGTGAGAGTGAAATCTAAAGTAGTCAGCAGCATACCAAGTAACACCAAACAGTGTTGGAAAGCATTAGTAGTAAGGTCACCCACACTTAAGGATACATTCAAAGTCAAAAGCTTAATTGAGCCCAATAGAGTCTAATTAGCCCTTTGCACTGTGCAGCTAATTGCATTGTGAAGCCTCTAACTTGGCTATCATTCGCTGAACTTACTGCCAATTGTCATCGTAAGCACATTGCTCTGGTTGTATATTAAGAATAACTCATATTTTTTTTTTTACGTAATAGTTTTTACATCAAAGGAACGAGACACCATACTGACAGAGTCAGTTGTTTCAATAGTTGCACTCGGCTAGTTGGAAACAGTCAATAATTTCGGCTAGTGTAGATAATCCTTTACTATGGGTTTGCACGTTTTCTGGCCTGCCACGGCCTGCCTGACTCTTTTCGTAGTTTGCATCATAATCGTGATGCTAAGATACGGTGCACGTCTCTGCAAATTACGACACGAGCCACTACCATCTGATCAGGAATGGGAGAGTAAAGCATATTCCAGGAAACTGTCAGTTTCCATGGCATGAGAACAGATAGTATTGTCCCAAAAATGTTATACGAAAAAAATATTATACATTTTTCTGAAAAAGAAAGATGCAAGTAAAACTGCCGATTAATGTTTCCATTGATATAAGCTGAACGTAAATAACTTTTAAACTATTTATACTTACTTTTTTGGGACGCGTATATACAGACAATAATATATCGTGTAAGTTAAATGATTTGACATTCCGTCCATTTACTATATATATTATACTAATATATTTTTTTATTGATATAAACGTATGCTTATCGTTTTCCTTGAATTAATGCAATTTCCAAGGAATTTTAATAAAAATTGAATCGATAGCGTCATTGAAAGAAATTCAATCTTATATCCGTCCATCTCTTTTGATATTATTTAAAGTATTTGGTTTATTCTTTATTAATTATTTGAAACAATTTTCGAAGTATATTGTAATGATGGTGATAACCGAACACTTTTGTAATTTTTGTATCAATACATTTGACAAATAAAACACATGTCATAAAAATCTTTTTACCTTCAAATCTTCATCACTTTACGAAATTATATGACTCCCGATCAACGTGCAATTTGAAACTACATTGCTCTTGTATATATAATATTTTAGTTTTATTGACAACATTGGATTTTTGTTACATGTGTAATGGTTACACAATTACTTTAATAAGTAAGTAGATGCATTATACAATTTTTATAATAGTTTGTAAAGAAAATTACCGATTTCATCGAGCTACGATACATCCAAAATTCAGGAGCTATTCTAAACTATGCGATCTGAATGATGAAACAATGTTAATAATGAAGCAACCGCGCAATCAGCGATTTATACAAGTAGTTTTAACAATCATTTATCTAAACCGTTACGAAACAATTGTCAATCCGTACAACAAATTAGATATCTTTGAAAAATGTACAGTCGAATTTGTTTAATCTTAACGAAACGCGTAGAAAATTTTTTAGCGATCTGTTGTACCAATGAAAAATTGATCAAAGCAACCTATTGCAATTTCTATAGATGTACTAACGAGATTAAACCATCAACAAGATCGACGATTATGAAACTCAACGGTCCGTAATAGAACGGCGATTCGTATGCCTCTAATTATTTTAATTCTAACGAATAAAGTTTTGAACGATTCTCTTACAATATCTAGAATATCTATGGGTTTTTTTGTTCCGAAGGACGCAGAGCACGCAGATAGAAAAAAGATTGTCTCGAAAGAAATTTCGAGAGGGATTTCTTCAGGCAGAACGTTAAACGATTAGTGTATCTTAATCCTTCTGCTTTCAAGATTTAGTCATCGATATGCAGGACTTAATTCGTAATTTGTTAAAACTTGAATTAGAAATCCGATGCGAAATTCCTCCTTTAGAGAATGCGAATTTTTCCTATCGACGTGCGCATCCTCCTCGGAACGTCTCCTGCGTAGTTTTATCGAAGGATCTGAAAAATTAGTCTCTAGGTTTACCGACGTATCTTTCTATCATGCTATGTTACAATGCGATTAAAACATGAGGAGCCTCCTGCGAGCTCCACACAGAGAAGTCAAGCACGAAATTCGTTACATTGGTTCTACGTTGTCGTTACCTGTTACACATGTTCTACACCGCCGAGATAACTGCGTCGCGTATTTGAGTGTTTCAGGACTGCACAATCGTTGTATCTGTACGATCGTATAAAGAGCGCGAGATTCTTATTATGAAAGTGGCATTGTAAATTCAAGTATTTCATAAAAAGTGTAGCGATTTCTGGAATGACTTCGGACACGGGTGGTTTCCCTTTCCGAGAAGATTCGTGCGAAATCTCACGTCGTTCGTGCGTCATTCGTCTACGTAATTAGCACGCATTGTAAAATAGATGTAAGGTTCAGGGGAGAGAGACACATTTAATGCTTCCAACGGCGCGTAACGAGTCGACTTACGTGGCTTGTAGGACCAAGGTTGCGAACTGTTCCCGGTACGTGGTACGACGCCGCTCGTTAAATTGCAGCCTTGCCCGTCGCCCGGAACGCAGCTTCGATCTTGGCAACTCGAGGGCTTCGATCTTGGCAACTCGAGGGAACGACGAACGTCCGGCGGAGGTGAAGTCACCGGTTGGAGGATCAATAGAGACAATAATTAGCGAAGAGCTCATAAGACGGAGAAAAATGCTATCCTAATTTAATCGATAATATTCGCTTCACGCGATAATGATGATATGCTGTAATACGGGAGCTAGAACTAGGCGCTTGGTGATGACGCGCGCGCGATTCCGCGCGTACGGCGTCCACAGGGTCTTCGATAAACTCCTCTGGAGGTCCTCTTCCGGGATCCGACGCGTGGAAGAGCTCGAGTCATCGACGCGATGTTCTCGTGCGATGGAGCTGGAGAACCGAGCTTCCGTGGTATATCGAAGATCTCGATGGAGATTTGAGGAAGAAATACCCTCGAAATATTATTATTATATGAAAAATACTCTCTTCCCGGACCTCGTGTCTATCCCTACGCACTCTCACGAGTCTCACATCCGCTCGTCGCGGGTCGCACTCGCGTGCAGTACCAAACGCGCAAAACAGCTTAATTTCCTCTCACCGACGAGCCCTCCGGTATACACCTAGACTTAGAAACGAGTTTACAATGTGCTTGTATGCAGGGACGAGGGATTTGATTTCCGTGGCGTCGAAAAGATATCCAGATTTATCTCTCTCTCTTTCTCTCTCTC